CCCCAAAACCCCAAAACCCCAAAACCCCAAAACCCCTTTTGCCTGTTCAGATATTGAAGCTACTATTTAACTGCAATTTCAAATAATTATTAATTTTTACTAAAACTTGGAAATGTCTGACAACTCCAACAGGAAAAGAAAGTTCCACGATATTGACATAGGAGAAGACTTTGAAGAAAGTGAAAACCAGGATGATCCTGACCAGAGAGTCGGCTCCAGACAGTACCATACAGACCCAATGGAAATGGATGATGGAGAGAATTTTTCTGAAGAAGAGAACCATAACTACGAGCCTGATATTATCCCTGGCGATCATGATGGCAATGACAGTGATAATTGCTCAGGAGAGGATCTTATGGATAATGCTGAAGAAGACTACAAAGAGATCCCTGAGCTTGATAGATATGAAAATAGAGGCCTTGATGATGACCAAGAAGTCAACCATCTACAACTCAATGCTGATGATAGAGCCAAAGTAGACCTACTCCTTGACCAGAGAGATAGAAGAGAAGGAATCGATCTCCGTAGAGTCCCAGTAGCAATGATGGACGAAGAGAATTCTGAGAATTCAGACTTAGCTAGAGAGTTAAGAAAGGAACGCCTTAGGAGAGATCATCGTGAAGAGGAAGATGACGAGATTGATGAAGGTTACTTGGATTATGAAGAAGCTAAGGGAAATCTTTCTGAATGGCTAAGACAACCGAAGACAGTAAAGTTTATCAGACATCAATTCTCAAGCTTTCTCAGAAGCTACAAGGATGAACATGGCATTGATGTATATGAGCAAAGGATCACTGAAATGTGTTCAAAATAATTCGCAGAGTCTAGAAATTACTTACTCCCATCTTTCTACTAAAAACCCAACTCTTGCCATTTGGGTGGCTGAACACCCAAAGCTAATTATCCCTATCTTTAATGAAGTTGCCTTTGAGTTAGTCAATGAAGTCTTCCCATCCTATGAGAATATCTACAAGGAAATCTTTATCAGAATTAAGGACCTTCCTATTGAAGATAAGCTCAGAGATCTCAGACAAATGCATTTGAATGCACTAATAAAAATTAAGGGAGTTATCACTAAGAGAACTGGAATTTTCCCAAAAATGAAGAGAGCTTTCTTCTTCTGCAAATGTGGAGAGAGGAAAGGACCTATAATCATTGCCTTGAGTGAAGAAGCTCAAATGGGAAATTGCTACAGATGTCATTCCAATGGACCTTTTACATTAGACAGTGCTGACACTGAATATAGCAATTATCAGAAGATTACTGTTCAAGAAACTCCTGGAACAGTGCCACCTGGAAGAGTTCCAAGGCAAAAAGAAGTAATCTTAACAGGCGACCTAGTTGATTGAGCGAGACCAGGAGATGAGGTAGAAGTTACTGGGGTCTATACCAGCCACTTCGACCATTGTATGAACATCCAGCACGGATTTCCAATCTTCTACACCTTCATTGAAGCTAATTATGTGAAGAGCCTGCAAGATGTTGAACATAATGCTCTTACTGAAGATGAAGTCTCTAAGATAAGGAAGCTATCAAGAGAGAAGAATATTGCCAAAAGAATCATTGGTAGCGTTGCTCCTTCTATCCATGGGCACAATTTTATCAAAACTGCTTTGATGTTGGCAATGTTTGGGGGCGAGCCAAAGGATGTTGCAGGAAAACATAAGATTCGAGGAGACATCAATATTCTCCTTCTTGGAGATCCAGGTACAGCGAAGTCTCAGTTCTTGAAATATGTTGAGAAGACTTTCCATAGAGTTGTCTACACAACAGGGAAAGGAGCCAGTGCTGTCGGTCTCACAGCTGGAGTTATTAGAGATCCAATTACTAAAGAATGGATGCTTGAAGGAGGAGCCCTTGTGTTAGCAGATAAAGGAGTCTGCTTAATTGATGAGTTTGACAAAATGAATGAAGTAGATAGAACCTCAATTCATGAAGCGATGGAGCAACAGTCTATTTCAATCTCAAAAGCTGGAATAGTGACAAGCTTGAAAGCCAGATGTTCTGTAATTGCAGCAGCAAATCCTATTTTTGGAAGATATGACCCTCAAAGAAACTTCATGGATAATGTTGATCTCACTGATCCTATTATTTCAAGATTTGATATCCTCTCAGTTGTCAGAGATGAGGTTGACTATTACAAGGACAGATCTTTGGCTACTTTCGTGATAAATTCTCATATCAGAAGTCATCCACTAGATAATACACCTGAAAGACTTAATGAGACCCTTCTTGAAGAAGATGTTACTGAATTAAGTAAAGATGAACTCCTTTCTCAACAACTACTGAAGAAATACATTATTTATGCAAGAAAATTTATTCATCCAAAGCTGACAGATGTAGATAAAGAGAAGATCTCAGATTTTTACTCAGCAATCAGAAAGTACTCTTCAGCAGTTGGCGGACTCCCAATTGGAATCAGGCACATTGAAAGCATGCTCAGAATGTCAGAAGCTCATGCCAAAATGCATTTAAGAGAGTATGTCCAGACTGTTGATATTGACTTGGCAATAAAGATGCTTCTAGAAAGTTTCCTCCAGAGTCAGAAATCATCCCTTGCAAGTGCACTAAGACCTAAGCTAATAAAATTCCTTTCTCATTCTGAAGATGATTATGATCTTTTGCTTCATACTCTCAACAAGCTAGCTAAAGAAAAGGCAAGCTTCCTCAGACTAAATAATGGAGGGATTGGTGGTGTATTGGACATTGAAATATCAGTACATGAATTCAGTAACGAGACCAAGGATATTTCCCATTACACCATAGAGAAGTTCTTCAAGTCAGTAGCTTTCTGTAAGCAATACTCGATTGAAGGGGATTTCATCAAGACCAAAGTAATCTAAGCAATAAATTTCGAAGTATCTCAATTTTCAGATAAATTTAGGGGTTTTGGGGTTTTGGGGTTTTGGGGTTTTGGGG